TTATATGAATGTGGGTGGAAGTGAGGGAGATATAGTTACAAATCTGTAATTTTCAGTTGCTATGTGTTGGAATCCTCTGCTGAAGGTTCAGTCAAAACAGTTCTTGCTGCTGAGGCTTGAGTTTCCCGAGGAGCCGTTTCCATCTGTTGGTAAAACAGACAAGTTAAACTGAGATGGAGTGCAGATTTCTCCTGTCTTCATTTTTATAAAGTGAAAACCCACTGATGTTCTAAATCTAGGCAGGAAAAAAAAATAAAAGGGGCAGCTAATGGCAATTGCAGTGTTTTTTCATGATTTATTGGTGTGTCTGGGGTCAGTAACTGAAGAGAAAGCCCCTGCAGTCTTTCAGTTCACTTCTGGGGAGGAATATATTGTATTTTCATTAAAACCTTTTGGGGACAAGTAACAACGTGGAGAGGTAGGGAAGCATCTCAGGGCTAGTTAAAAATACTGAATCCCCTTCTATGTGGGTAATATAAAGTATCCCAGATGGTTTTCAGTGAAGTACCTGCATATCCTGCTTCCAAATGCACATTTGCTTTACTCTCATCTTTTCCTGCCTTGCTAGAAAGTGTGGCTTCAACCCGGAGTGGTTTGGATGCAGGTGATGCTCAGAGCTCCTTTTGCCAGGGGATTACACATCCCCTTCCCAGAGCCCAGGACTGCACATCCCCTTCCCAGAGCCCAGGATTGCACATCCCCTCCCCAGATCCCGGGAGATGGGTTTGGCAGCGGGCACGTGGGGATGTCAGGCGTGCTTGGCTCTGCCCATTCCACATGTTGGGCCTTGCAGAGCAGAAGGAATTCCTGGGATCCTCACCCAGCCCACTGCAGGAGTGTGGGGAGGGACGTGCTGAACACCAGCACAGCTTTCCCAGCTGTTGGCTGACCAACCTCCTTCCCTGCCTGGGAAAGGGAGGGAATGTTTGCAGATTCAGATGTATTGCTTGGGCAGAGCTGGGCTGGCAGTTTGGGCTGTAATATTTAGATCGTTGTTGTTTATTATTCTGTCATGTGAATCATCTTAAAAATAAATGAGAACTAAGTTTCGTTGCCTGTGCCTGGCAAACAAGGGAGAATGAGGTGACCCAATTATGTCCATTTGCAGTGTGTTGGATGCAGCAGGACAAGCTTGAAGGATTTAGTCTTTTAACACAGTTTAGTGAAGAATGTTGTAATTTCAGACTCAAACTGCAGCTTCTGAAAGGCACAGGTTAATCCTTTTTATGAGAAGGGGATTGAAAAGTGGCACTGGGGAGTAGAGCCATGTTTGGCTGCAGTAGGGAAGTCCTGGCAGCCCAGACTTTCCTGTTGGCTCTGCACATCTGCCTCCCCCTCACCTGGAGAGACCAGTTCCAGAGCTGACAGAGCAGTGAATTCCCTATGGCTTCACCAGCCTTTGGCATCTCTTCCTTCAGTGCTAATAATCCTGCATATGATTCCCAGAAATCCATCTGAGACCCCAGGATTTCTTTGTTAGGCCAGTACATATCAGTGAACGTGTCACTGGGCTTTGGAATTGCTTTGCCTGTTCATTCCCTTGGATGAACAGTTTTCCAGTTGAGCTCTGTTGATGCTGTGGAGATTCCTTCAGTCCAGTACACAGCAGTTCTTGTTTTTCTATCTCCCTGTCTGGCTTTTTGTGCTGAAAATACAGATTGAAATGTTGATTTTCAGCGACTGTTTCTCATATGCAATATAAGATGCCTGAACAAGAATAGGTAAATAAATTGTGTGTTTTAACTGTACACAGTAGGATTCATTAGTGCTGTTGATGAGTCTGTTGGTGATGGGTGGGATGTGCAAAATCAGTCTTTATCTTTGCTGATCAGCTGACATTCCACTCCCAGCATCCAGCCCTTGGCATCCCTGTGCCAGCTCACTTTCCTTGTGCTGTTGTAATTCAGTGACATGTACTTTAAAAACATGTTTCTTTTCAGTGATTGTGCCTTATATTTTAGCCTAAAAACTCCTTTATCCTCACAATGTGGGGAAGCATCGTGGTCTCTTAAGTGACAGCACTTAAGCTGACACTTTGACCTTTGTCCATCTCCCAACATCTCTGAACCTGTAGTTATTATTTCTCTGCTTTTAAATTTTTCTGTAAGTTAAATACCCTCTGTAGCAGTCTCTGGCCCAAGTGTAAACCATTGTAAAGAAGTAGAATTATTTAGGATGGAAGGATAAGCATGAATTGAATCTGGGGTCTTTGTGCTTAAAATAGTTTTTTACATTTCATTTCCATGGTAAAGAGCCTTGCATGGTTTTATCTCTTCTTAAATCCAGTCTAGGAAAGTAAGCCCATTGGGGCAAGAGCAGCTTTGATTGTCATTTGAGAAATGTTTTGTATTCTAGTGATGCCTGAGTTGGAAAGGGTTCAGTTATTTCTTTTCTCCTGCTCCTGGGAGTATGTGGTGGGAGTTAAGCTTTGACAGAATCCCGTGACCAGGACAAAATCTGAATCTTGTGAATCATGGAGGAAGTGCTGATCAGTGGGATGAGCCCAAGCAGCTGCAGACAGTGATGCTCAGCCCCACCTGGATCTGGCAGAATTAGAAGGTAAAGGGAGCAGCTGACACTTGTTTAGACAGTGACAAAAACTGGGAACCGAGTGTTAATGAAGTCCAGATGAAATGCAGCAAACACACTCTCCCTTTTTTATCCTTCTTTCCCCCCTCCTTTCTGTGGTCAACAAGTGAAGGCTGATCTACACTAATTCCATTTTTCCATGGCTGTTCAGCACTCCATGCAGATGCCATCATCAGCAGGGAAGCAAGACAGGAGTAGCCAGAGCTACTCCACTGTTCTGTACTCCAGAGAAAAGCTGAATCCAAGATCCTGCTGGAGCTTCACCTGGAGGTTCTCTGCAGTGTCTCTCAGGAAAAGGTGTTGGGAGCACCTGAGCTTTATCAATGGCTTAAAAGAAGCCAAAAGTAAACCATGTTCTGACCTTGCAGGATTAGAAAGGGGATAGAGGTGATCAAAGAAGAGGAATTCAGAGCTGGGAATTGCAACTGAAGCAAAGCACTGCCTGACCTGGGAGATTCTTAAGGATGGATCGTTGAGGCCTCAGGTCTATCAGGACTCTTAGGATGGGGAGCAGAGCTCGTGCCAGCAGTGATTCAGCTGCTCCTCAGCTGTCTTGCTAAACTCTCTCTCCTATTTTGCACTTCTTCCCTCCCACCCCCCAAAAATACACAGTTGTGAAATATTTTTAGATCTTATTTCTTAGGGTTTGTTAGAGATGAATGTGGAAATGCTGGTGTGCAGTTGGAAATTCTGGAAGTGTGAGCTGCTCTTTAGAACTGATGGGAACAAGTTGGTGGAAGAACCTTTATTCTTATTTTGTTCTCATACTTAAGCAAAAGTAACGAAACCTAATTTTATTTACTCCAGTTATTTTTGGAGCCTTTAGCAGTAAAGGTGCTTGTTCTTCAGGGGATGTCCCCTGTGGTTTAGCAGAGGAGTTCCCAAGTTCTGGGGTGCAAGGTTGATGTCCCACCCACGTGTGTGGTGTCAGTGGTGAGGTGAGTTCAGCTGGGGACAAACCTGGCAAGTTCCCAGTGCTTCCCATGCCCTAATCCTCTCCTTTAGGAAGGAGCTCACACAGCTGTGGTATTTGTGCAGTGGTGGTGGTGGGTGGGTCTTTGAAGTCCATAGAAGTAGGAGCAGCAATTAGTCACTGGAATAGGTCCCATTGTCAGTGCTGGAGATAATCTTTCCTGGGACCCTGTATTTAGAGGGCAAGAACACTGGGAACTAATTAGTGAGGTCTGGCTTCAATAATCCTTTCAGAACAGGCAATTCCTCTCCTCTGGAGAGGTGAAATGCTTCTTTTAAGCCATTGATAAAGCTCAGGTGCTCCCAACACCTTTTCCTGAGAGACACTGCAGAGAACCTCCAGGTGAAGCTCCAGCAGGATCTTGGATTCAGCTTTTCTCTGGAGTACAGAACAGTGGAGTAGCTCTGGCTACTCCTGTCTTGCTTCCCTGCTGATGATGGCACCTCCATGGAGTGCTGAACAGCCATGGAAAAATGGAATTAGTGTAGATCAGCCTTCACTTGTTGACCACAGAAAGGAGGGGGGGAAAAGGATAAAAAAGGGAGAGTGTGTTTGCTACATTTCATCTGGACTTCATTAACAAATGGTGACCATATCTACGCTAATCAGAAACCTTTCATTAAATACAGCAATTTATGCCATTTTTTACATGATTCTGGCTGTGATGCTGTCCTGGGTGGTGGCACTTGTTGTTCCATTGCCTGTTACAGAGGGTTTGAACTGTCACTTCATTTGTGACATTGAGCTGCTTGTCTTGGAGGCTGATGGGGTGGGTAGGAAGTACTGAATTCTTACCATGCCCTGAGACCCAGTTGTAAAATATGTTCAGAAATATGTCACAAGTCTGAAAACTAGAAGTAAATAACTGCTTCTGGCTGTTGGGGACTGAACAGTGAAGTTGGTCTGAAAAACTCTGTGCAAAGGGTTTTCCAGCCCAGCTTTCCAGTGCCAGTCTTTGGAATTGCTGTATTCAGATGACACAGGCAGAATTGAAAACAATAATTTTGGTCAAAATCAGCATGCTTTACATTTCTCCCTAGTTCTCCTCAAATCCTTGGTGAGATATGCCTATTTTGGGGTTTTTACTAGAAGAAACTCCATGTCACAATGTCTGTTGGTTTTTCCAAGGGATTGGGTTTTATGCTGAAATCTTCCTAAAGAATGCAAAGCTTGAATGCATTTCGTTCTCAAGGGGTTGGGAACGTCATTGGTATGGTCAGGGTGGAAATCCTGCAGATGAAGAATGGCTTGAATTTTTAAAAACTTACTCTTTAAACAGAAAAAAGGGTCTCCAGGCTCCAGGCAAGCTGCAGTTGTATGAATTTTACCTAGGCCGTGTTCTGAAGCAGACTGGGATTTCAGGGCTTATGGAATGAAGGGTCTTTCTGGGGTTCAGCTGTGGATATTTCTGTAATGCTTTGCTCATTTGTTTTCACAGGGCAGTTTCCTCATACATTTTTCCCAGCCACAGTCACTAATCAGGACTGAACACGTGGGTTATCTCATCTGCTGTGGTTTTTAGAAGCAGGTACGTTGGCAGGGAAATCTGATGGTTTTGTTGGTTGGGGATGGGGCAACAACGACTTCATCCATGTGCCAGAAAGGATTGTAGGGGCAGGGGAATGCTGCTTAAGTAATGTTTCGTTATGTAGAGCATATTAATGTAGCTTTCTTGAGAAAACAAAGCTGAGAAATGCTTTGATAAGATTTTTCAGTCCGTCCTTTGTAAAGATGGATCGTGTTGTTGTCTGGGCATGGGGCAGCTCTGTACGTGGGTTTGGAGCTCTGATGTAATATCTGCTGGGTGCTATTGTCATCCTAAACCCTGTCTTATGAAAGCTTTATGTAACAGGAGCAGAGATATGTTCAAATTTTTCATGCTGGGGTCTCAGTGCTGTTTAAAGACTCTTGTCTTTCCACTCTGATGTCACCAGATATGAAGAGCTGTGATGGTTGAGGCTGTTGACCAAAATGATTATGTGGTGAATGAAAAGCAGCTTAATTTAATCTCTTTATATATATATTTTGGGCCATATTGAGTGCTTTTTTCCCCCATGTTGCTCACTATGTGGAGCATTCAGGCTTCAGGATCTTAACCCTTCCTGTTAAATAGGTGGGTTTGTGATAAATCCATTTTGGCTGAAGGTTCCTTTAGAAAAAGCAGGTTTAGACAGGAATTTCCATCACCCCTTTTTAAAGTTTGAGAATTAATAAACAACTGGAATATAACTATGATGGGAAACAATGAATAATAACATGTACAGGCTGCACAGTGTCTGATGTGTAGAGGAGTGTTGAAGTGGACGGGTCTTCCTCGCTGGCACAGGGGCAGCCAGGGCATTTTCTTGGTGCTTGTGGATGGTGCCACCTATTGATATCCCATATATTTTGTTTCATTTTTAAACCACAGATGTGTTACTGCATTTCAGGGTTTTGCTGTCATGGTTTTTCTTTCCTGAGTTGATTGGTTACTAGTACAGCACCTTTCCTTTTCAAGTAACAATATTGTTTAAAAAAATTATTTATAATATTAAGAACTAGTCACAACCTTTCAGCCTGACTTGGTATCTTGATAAATGTTTATTGTTTTATCAGTCTCTGGATAAACATAACTTAGTATCTCTTGCCCTGGTTTTGTTCATTGTCTTACTGGTGGCATCCTCAGTAAATTGCACTGTGGAGTATGTGCTCAGTAACATAATCCAATTTACTTATTTGAGTTGACACTACACAGAAATAGGGGATTGTTTTATTCTTCCTTCAGAGAGCAGTTTGCTGATTATGGCAAAAAAAAAAAAAAAAAGTCAAAAAAATCACCTTGCACATGTACAGGCTGCAAGTTTCCAGGCAGAACCATCAACAGCAAATGAGCTTCATGCAGGTCTTCCCACTGAAACTTGTTCAGGAAGGGCTGTGATGGATCTTTCTCACTTTTTACTGCTGTTATCTCCATGCTCCGTAATGTGGGTGGCAAAGCCTATCCCAGCAGCTGCTGCTGAAGTTTGCATTGCTTCTGACTCACTCAGGAGGGCCTATGTGTAATTTTAAACTGTTTCCACACCCAGATTACTTTCCCTTAAAAGTCATAATGAAAATGAAGTGAGGGGAGAGGTTGGTAATGACTGCAGGAAAACATTACAGGGAAAGCAGTGTTTGAACCTGCTGGGGTAGAACCTTCACTAAGGCAGCCTTGGGTAGTGTATTCCCTTGGTTACTGAGGTTCAGGAAGTCAGATTTATAGCTTGGTGTGGGACCAGACCCAGTTCTGGGGATGAAAACTAATTGGGAGACGTGCTCTGGAGCCACTTCTGTGAGCTGTGTGTGGTGCAGGAGGGGCTGGCTCACACCTTCATCTACAGTGTCGTGGAATCACAGGATGGTTTGGGTTGGAAAAGACCATCCCATTCCACCCCCTGCCATGGGCAGGGACACCTCCCACTATCCCAGGTTGCTCCAAGCCCTGTCCAGCCTGGCCTTGGACACTTCCAGGGATGGAGCAGCCACAGCTTCTCTGGGCAACCTGTGCCAGGGCCTCCCCACCCTCACAGGGAAGAATTTCTTCCCTATATCCCATCTAAACCTCCTCTCTCTCAGTGGGAAGCCATTCCCCCTTGTCCTGGCACTCAGGATTGTAAACAGTCTCTCTCCATCTCCCTCCAGGTCCTGGCAGGGGTTACATTTCCCCAACCCACAGCACCTGTAAGAGTTTAGTTCAGTTTGTGACGCTGCTCTAAAAGTGTGTTATTTGAAGCACCATTATTTTCTAAATTTCAGTTTATGTTTTTGCTATTGTTGACTTAATAAACTTCAGGATCATTTTTAAGAGCAGCTGAAGAGTATCTCTGTTGGTTTTCGGGTTTTTTTGTCTCGGTAAACACCCTGTTGTGGAACTTAAATAATGACCAGATACATAACAAAGTATAATCATGCTTTGTGCTGTAGAATTCAGATAGCACAGGCTGTTTATTCCGTAACATCATTATTTTTTATTAAAATAAAAAAGCAAAAGTTCACATTTTAAATGATACAAGAAAGGATGATAAACTCTACTCCTTGCCTGCTCTTCTTGGCTCTTCTTTCTCTCCAAAACCATTTCATAAATTTTAGTAGCTTTTACATAAGTGCAGTGGCCTTTTTTACATGATATATAAAGGAAAAAATAAAAACAGAGAGGAGGAAGACTTAAGAGCTTAGATTTCACACAGCTTTTGTTAAGCCATTGCAGGCTCCATGGCTGTGCTTTCTGCATCCTGTTTTCATTCTGGTTGTGCTTATTTATGGAAAACACCCCAAACCACGGTCTCTTCTGTCAGGGTGAACCTTTCATCTGGTTGTTAGAATTCTTCTTCTGCTCAGGCAGTAAGGTAACCACAGATAATGAGCTGCTGGGGATGTGAACATCAGCCTCGGTGAATGTTTGCATATGTAAGGCCCGATTTAGCTGTTCACAGTTTTAAGGATTTCTCCGATGAAGGATGTGATTCCTTGTTCTCCCAGGATATTCAGTGATCTGCCAGCTGGTGAAAAACAGGTAAATGAAACTTCTCTTCCTTTTATGCCCCACTAACTATTTTAGTTTGTCTTCTTGTGATCCTCAGGAAATCCAGGAGCTGGCAGGAGGGGAATGAACCGTGAGGGCGTCCCCGGAAAGAGTCCGGAGGAGATGTACATCCAGCAGAAAGTGAGAGTTCTACTCATGCTGAGGAAGATGGGATCAAATGTAAGATGCACTTCATAGCCCATATTTTATGGCCTTCCAGACATTTTTGTAGTAACTGGGATAGTGCTTGTAGAGATGGGCAGGTGAGGGTCTGGTTTTACACTGAATTGTTTTAGCCATCGCTGATTTAACCATTATCTGCGGTTAAACACAATTGATTTTTGCTTAAATATTATTAGACTTGTGATGCCTGAAACTGCCATGTATGGATAAACGATCAGATGTTTAGATTTAAAGCTTTTCCTCATTGGGAAAAACAGCAAAGCAAAGTGACCGTTTTAAGGTGACTTTGAGTCTGCCCACGAATTCACAACATCTCAGTTTGCTGAGGGTAGAGCTGCACAAATAACAGGTGATTAAAGTGCTGGAAGGAGAACAGAGGCAGCTGTGATGTTTTCTTGGGGAGTGGGAGATGATGTGTCCTGGTTTCCCCTTTGCTGACTGCCTGTCCCCCCAGCTGACGGCCAGCGAGGAGGAGTTCTTGCGCACGTACGCAGGGGTAGTGAACAGCCAGCTCAGCCAACTTCCCCAGCACTCCATTGACCAGGGTGAGTACTGACCTTCCTTGCCTTGGGTTTGTTTAATCTGTGAGGGCAGTCTCCTAAAACACCAAATTTAGGTGCCTGTGTTTCTGCATCAACCCTCCCTGCAATCCAGGATGTGCAAACTGTGGCTTTGGGAGAGAACGACAGTGAGCTGGTCAAGAGGTGGTTTTATTTCAACAGGTGAAGTCAGTCTGCACTAAACCTGAGATTAATTAGGAAGAAGAGCATTTTTAAACACCTTATTCTCCATGATAACTCAAAAGACTGATGGCCAAAGTCCTGTGAGCTGTAAATGCATGTGTAGAGCTTCCTGCCCTGTCTAATACATTAAATAGAAATAGATTTTAATCTGATAACTTGATCCTTTTTCTCTGTGTGCAGGAAAATTCGGTTATGCAAAGGTCCCTCTAGTTCTTAATCTATTCAGTATAGACCCTCTGCATAAGAATGTAGATCATCTGAGTTTTTATATTTATTCTTACACTGGACATCTGTGCTTAAAAAGGAACAAGGCTGGGGGTGGTTTGCAAGCACTTTCTTTGTACTCTTCAAGCTGGGAGTTTCATAACAAAATAAAATGCAAAGTAAATACAGATTTCTAAGGTACAACAGCATGTGTTAGGCGTGTGATAATTTAGTTACTGTGACTCCAGTTGCTTGATAACACTATTGTCACAAAATAAAATGGAATCATCTGACAACATCTTTGCTTTTTCACATTTCCATGAGTGTGAAAGTGAAGTGCAATGTTACTATTTCAGCAGAGTGAGAGGGAAAGATTGACAATAGGAGGAATTTGTTTCCCATTGCGTTTCTTTAATTTGCACAACGTAATTAATTCCCAGACAGGGGCAGCAGACACGTAATAAGTTTGCAAATCTGCTTTGGTTTATTTAGATTCCCATTAAGGGGATGAACTACGTGCTGGTTTTGTTAATTCTTTGCAGAAGTCTTGGTAAACAACTGTGTGGAGCTGCTGTGAGTTCCACTAATCTCTTGTGGACCTGAATGTTTCTCACTGAATTTATTTCCCTCCCCTGCCCAAGCCTGGTGCCAGATCACGTTCATAATGCACACTTTGCTACTGAAGGAAGATTGTGAGGCTCCAGTGCCAGAACTGAGCTGAGCAGAAACTTAATATAGATCTGAGACATTTAGAAATGCATTAGAAACACAACCTGCACAAACTTGCTGCTCTGTTTTAAACCTGTGTGTTCATTCCTCACATAGCTGGGGGTTGGTGGGGGTAGATACACTTGAATGTTTTGGCTCAGGATTCTTCAACTCTCCTGCCAGTGTAAAGGGGAAATCTGGCAGTTTCTTGTCAAGAACTGAGGTAGACACATTCAGTTAAGAGAGATTTGCCTTAGCTGCAGTTGGCATTTTTCAGTGTTGTCCTTAAAAAAGTTTCATTTTTAACAGTGCAAATCCACATGGAATTACCTGCACATTGGCAAAGATGAGAGAAAGAGAACTCCAGCCAGGGGACACAGGTCCTTCCTACATCTCTGCTCCTGCACATCTTGATCCAACTCACTGTCTAAACTGTCTGATTTTTCTGTCTGTGAAATTACATTTTTCCCACCTTGCAGACTGAAAAAATTGAATTTTGATGTGACTTTTAAAATGTTACCGAAAGAAAGACCAAGAGTTCCTTGGTCTGCTGCTCAACTCACTAATCAGGCAATGCAGGAAATGTAAGAGCTTCACATGCTGTTCAAAAAGTGGTCTTTGTCCCATATTTGAACAGTTGGCAACTGATTCCTCTGTCATCATTTTCATGAAGTCCTTGAAGATTCTTAAAACTTTGTCTGTAGGGGAGTGAAGCCCTCCCTGGGGATGCTTGCTTGGATCTAATCTGAGACTCTCATGTCCTTCCTGGGAGATTTGACCCCACAGTCTACCTTCAGTCTTCCCAAATTATAATTAAACTGGTGGCCTGACCGTTAAGATTTTTCTTGATGGGAGGGGGGGGAACAACAAAGGAAGAAAATAGTTAAATATTTAGAGAAGTGGGAAAGGACGTTGGTTCTTTTCACGTTCAGAGGGGCCATCTCTCCCAATGAAGGAGAGAAAAGCATGGAGTACAAATGGAATTGAGGAAACATAACCAAATACTTTTGGAGAAAGATGAAGCTGCAGCTGCAATTTATTGCTCAGCACTTGGATTTCCTCAGAAATCTCTCCAGGTTTCTCTCAGCCAGTGCTGCTGCTGCCCTTTGCTCTGGGGTGTGGGGGCTCCACAGCAGCAATCTCTGTCTGTCTGTCTGTCCCTTCTGCTGCATCCTGGGCTCGGTGACACAGGGAGGGTCCACTGTGAAATGATGGAAATCAGGAATACAGTCACAGGAGTGTCCAGTTTTCCACCCTGAGGGAGATTCCATCTCCACTAGATGGCATTATCTTGTGCTGAAAAACCCATCCAGGTCCACACACCGACTGCTCCGTGTGCTCCAGGCTTGCTCACAGGAATTTTCTTCCCTGCTTTTTTGCTGTTTCCACTGAATCTCCTGTGGATTTTTGTTTTTGGTTTTTTTTTTTTTAATGCAACTTGCCTTAACAACAAAAGGTGTGTTATTTAAGGAGTAACTTCCAAGGAGTTGGCCCTCAGAGGGTTTCACGACCCTTTGTTCCACAGCCTGACTTGTCCCAGACCTATCTTTAGAGCCACTTTCCTCCAGCAGGCACAAAAGACACTGAGCTGACTTCACATCCTCATTTTGTTCCCCCCCCAAAAAAGGAATGACATCCTTGGCATTAGCACTCTGAGAGCTTTGTTATGCACCTGCAGGTTTCTGTGGGTTGCTCCAAAATGCTGGAGTGTGGCTCCAGAGTTACAGGAAGGTTGTTTGGGATTGGTTTGGTTTGTTTTTGACAGGAGTACAGAAGATGGATAGTCTAGAATTTTTTAAGTGTCTCACAGCCTCTATTACAGTTTTTATGCTTTGCTTTGTTGTGCATCCATGCAGTGCTGGCTCAGAAGGGCTGGCTGGTGGCCTCCCAGCAGTGACCTGAGGCAGGGCTGCTGAGCTTGGCAGGGGATGGTGCTGCCCACCAGGATTTCTGATGCAGATCTGCCAGTCCTCTGTGAGAGCCTGTTTGACCACAGGGAGTCACTGCAGCCTCTGTGTCCATTTTTGCAGGGATGTGCCAGTGCCTTGAAGAAAGAAGTTGACACTGTCCCTGCTGAATTCAGGCTTGTGCCATAAACCCTCAGTGAGCCACTGTTAATAACAATATCTCTGATACTTGAAGTTCCTCCCTGATACTCTGCTCGCTGTCTTAGGGGCCAGCAGTGGAAGTTAATGGCTAATTTTGATCAAGAAGCATCTTAGAATACCTCTGTAATTGCTAAGTGAGCCTGAAGGCTAAGCCTCTCCTTGAGTTTGTGGTTATTTTTACTGGAAGAGAAGAAATTTATATTATTTATCTCTTTATTTCTTATCTTGCTTTCAAAAGGAATTCATCTGTTCAGATGTTTACAGATTTCCCTTTACATCTGGAACACCTCCACTTCTGAAGAATTGCCTGCTCTTGGAGTGAATCTTGTTTTCCTGACAGGCAGCTCAAATATTCGGAGTATCTTTGTGTAAATCAGGTAGTAATGAGATATATCTCAGCCTTTCTAAGGTGTTGGAGCAGATATCAAGTGGAAATCAGTGCAAATCTTTCTAATTTGTGTTCTAAACTCTTCACATTTAGTGCTGCAACATGTATTGGAGCAACAGATCCGTGAAGGGATTTTGAATGGCCAGAAAGTGTACTCCAGGCTGAAAATAGTCTTTTTTTTTTCTTTTCAATTCCAACTCTATTTGCCCTTTCTTTTCAGTGTATTCCAGACTCTCAGGAAGTGCTGAGTCCCTCAGTGTGTTGACTTTGATACTCTTCTCTAGAGAAGGCTTATCTGATGTATTAAAAATACTTTATTATCCATTGCAAGGTGAACTGGTAGCAGAGGGGATGAGCTCTCAGTAACCCAGCAAAGCTTGAACAACAGTTATAAAACTCTAAAACAACAGTTATAAAACTCTAAAACAACAGTTATAAAACTCCAAAATGAGTTATTTAATACTTAAATGTAGTATTAATTAAGAGTCTGACATTAATGTCATGCTCACATTTTTTTATAACCATTTTAGTGTTCAGTCATTGCTGCAGTGTTGTTAACACCTTTAGGAAAGTGTAAAATACAGGGTGCTTTTCTTTCCTTGGGGAGCTTTTTATCTGGCATCTGTGGGTTGTTTGTTGCTTTGTTTTTAGGGCACCAGGAATAACTGAGTAACCCAGAGGCATCTCTGTTCAACCAGTGTGTGTGTGCTAGAGAGGGGATGGAATCAGGAGCTGTTTTGGGATATTAACATATTGGTCTTGCCTGCATTGCAGCAAGAGCTAAGGCAGCTCACACTCCTTAGGTTTCTCCAGCTCAAAATGGTGAAATTAAGGCTTTCTCACATGTTTTTGAGGACAAGCAAAGTTTTCTGCTCAGGGGCATCTCCTGCATAAAAGCCACGTTTCCCCTTCCCCAGTTCCTTCCATTCCTGAAGGGTGGGCTGGCCCTGGGCTCTGGCAGGTCTGGAAATGGAAGCAGTGCAGTTTGGAAGCAGGAGATGGGAATTATGCTGAGACCTGGGTGATTGCAGCTCTGGTGTTCCTATAGCAACAGGAGTGTCGTGCTGGCTCTTGGAGGAAGCTGCTCCCTTGGGGAGGGAGGGCAAGGCTGAGCTGCAAACACGTGCCCTGCTGGGTGGTGGGGCACCAAAACCCACCCCAGGCTGGCTGTGAGTGAGGAGGGGACCCTGCTCATGGAATGGCAGAGGGGGCTGGAGGAGTGGAGATCAAGCTCTTCTCATCAGCGTGGGTTTATTCTGTTGAGCACGAGGCTTGTTTTAATGTGCTGCTCCTCTCAGCAGTGCAGGCTGTATTTTTAGCATGCCAGACTGGGATGCCAACACAGGGAATTTCAGGGAAGAGTTAATGTTCAGAAGGTTGTTGCTTGAAGGTGGTTGAAGAAATG